GGTTACTGTGTCATTCATGATGAAGGTTGGTCTTCAAGCAGCCAGGGAGGAAAAGAGCACCAGTTTTCTAATCTTGTTCTTTTCAGGTCCCTGACCAGCCAGCCAACACTGTTAGCCCTTGCCCATGTGTCAGTGTAGATCTAGACCTCAACCATTTTTTTTTCCTTCTCATGAAGCAGACAAGCAAATGTACACTCCAAAGTTGTGCCCATGGCCTGAAAGACATACAGTGCCGATCTGTCTGTCATCAGGCCCAAGCATTTCCTCCCTCTCTCAGCTGATCCCAGAGAACTTCCAATGTCACCACAGGTGGGCTGAGGAAGAGCTGTGTCTCCCAAACTCATCGAGGCTAGTCTATGTTGTACCCTTTCCAGTGTAAATGCATGTGCTGCTGTGCACAGTAGGTTTTATAATTTGGTGGATCAAATGAACACCCAGGTCATGATAGTTCAAATCGCTGTGTCTCTTGATGTCCCATCGTCTGGCATTCACTCTCCAGCAGGGCTTGGGAATAAGCCAGAAGCTGCATTCCGTTTATTTTTTTAAAAAGGATTTAAAAATGGATTTTTAGAGACAGAGGAAGGGACAGGGAGAAACTTTGATGTGAGAGCAAAACATTGATCAGCTGCCTCTTGCATACCCTCTACTGGGAATCGAGCTTGCAACCTGGGCATGTGCCCTGGCTGGAATTGAACCCGGCAACCTTTCGGTGCACAGGACACCAGCTTAAGCAACTGAGACACCCTGGCCAGGGTGCCAGAAGTTGCATTTCAAATGGAGAGTCATTGATGGCAAAAGAGGGCATGGCTTGCTGAAGGCTCGTTTGTCACACCAACTAGGAGATAACACCTGTAAATTCTCTCACAGAAGAGGAGATAACTGAGTCAGGTTTTGAAGGATGAATAATACTTCCTGGATGGGTGGACAAGCTATTGAACAGCATGTGCATAGATATGAAAAAGTGAAATAGGAGAATCCTAACACAGTTTGGCATCATTGGGTTATGGGATGTAAGGAGATGCTCAGGGACCTAGTCATGGGCATCTTTTGAACCCTGCAGAGGAAGTTACCGAATTCTTTTAAGCAGAGGAGTTATCTATTTAAGAAAATGTACTATTCTTTGTATCTCTTCTGGTGCCTTGCACAGTCTCTTAACAATAATTGATCATACAAATTGTTTTGGTTTTAAATTTTGATTGGAAATAGGATTAGTTACATATGGTGCCATTTATTACAGTAACTTCACACCTTTTTCCTACTAGGTCTCAAAATCTCTACCTCCAAACTCAAATATTTTCTTTCATGTGTGACTTGTTTAGGTCCCTCCCTCCCTCCCTTCCTCTCCCTTCCTCTCCCTTCCTCTCCCTTCCTCTCCCTTCCCTGCCTTCCTCTCTTCCTTCTCCCCCACCTCTCCATCTAAATAATTCTGCATAGAGGTACGTAAATGAGAATTGGCTTTTATTCTGCTATTGGATTCTCATCATTAAAATTTCTAGTCTATTTGGGTTCCTTGCTTAGTAACTCCCCAAAAATAAAATAAAATAAAAGGTTTCACCTCCTCACTTTTATGAGTAAGATACTAGTGCAAATCTATCCCATCTCTTTAACTGTTTTGTACTCCCTTACTACATGTAAAAGGATGTTGCCTCAGCTACCTGAAATATTCTATGGATAACGAACCTGTGTTTGGGTAAGTGCGCAGTGTCTTTAAAACATGAGTGAATCCACTGCTAAAATATTTATAGCTTAGTCAACATAACTTGAAGAATGATCAGTTGTGGTAGCAGATATCCAAATCTTTGAAATGCCTTGAGAAGTCTATGCCCTTACATGGTGTAGCACCCTCCGTTCTGAACCCTTGCTTCCATATGTGGAAATGAGAACTTCGGTTGTTCTGTGTCAGGAGCGGGACATAGCACCAACGAAGAGTGCCATCTGGGCCATGATCCTGGGAGGGAAGGGCAGAGAGAACAAATGGCAGATCAAAAGTTTGGCGTTGAGAGGAGGCCTGAGCTTTGATTTCAGAGATGGCTCTGTGCCTGGCTAAGTTTTGTAGATTGTGGAACTGGGTGATAACTGGCCCCAGGGAACATTGGGTTACCAGATTAGAAGGCAGAGATCAAGTTTGCGAAAGGAAGGGTGAAGGAGACACTGGCCAGTACACCAGGATTTGAACTCCCTTCGGCAAGCATTCTGAGAACGTGCGGATGACATTCAACCTCTGAGCAGGGCTTCACATTCTGTGGGATTGGAGATGGGTCTCTGGAGAGCTGGGGGTTGGTAACTCAATAGGAAAGGGGTGGAGAATGAATTATTTTGCCCCTCAATCTAGAGAATGGCATGGCTCTAAAATGCAAAGGTTCCCAGCCCCATTGGGGCTGTCCAAACTTTAGTGTTATTCTTGAAAAATCAATGTAAACACCAGACCTTTATGAGTAAAACAAGAGGGTAATTTTTTTTGATTGTTTAAAGTATTACATGTCTCGTTTCTCCCCCGATTAACACCCCTCCCCCCCCACACCACTCCCACCCCTAAGGGTAAACCCCCACTACCCCGGTGTCTGTGTCCATTGGTCATGCTAATATGCACGCATACAAGTCCTTTGGTTGACCTCTAACCCGCCCCCTCCCCGAGGTTGGATGGTTTGCTCAGTGCCACCTTGTCTCTGGATCTATTTTTGTTCATCAATTTATGTTGATCATTATATCCCACATAGGAGTGAGATCATGTGATATTTATCTTTCTCTAACTGGCTTATTTCGCTTAGCATAATGCTCTCCAGTTCCATCCATGCTGTTGCAAATGGTAAGAATTCCTTCTTTTTTACTGCAGCATAGTATTAAATAGGAGGGTAATTTAAGAGTAAAAGCATTCCCATAAGAATTTCTGTGTTGAAAATGGAATGGGGTGGAGGTAGTGGTCCAACATGCATTATATTCTTCAAGCATCATCTAGAAATACTTAGTAAGCCTAAAGTTATAAATTCCCTTCATCGGTGCTATGCAAAGATATCTCCACAGATTCAGTCCCTCTCTGGTAGTATTTTATAAAACCCCTCGCTTTGTCATGAATATTTGGCTACAGGTTAGGAGGAAAAGAAAGAAATCTTTTTACAAATTTATTTTTCAGTTAGAGTTGACATACAATATTATGCTAGCTTCAGGTGCACAGCATCACGATTAGACATTTATATTCCTTAGGAAGTGAAGCCAAAAATAATCTTGAATTAAAGATGGCTATTCCTGGTGGAACAACAGAATTATTGTCATTCACCCCATCGCATGCTTTTATTTTGCTGAATAGAAAGGCATTTTATGTTACTCTATCAATTGATTTTAAAACTTTGAAATTGTTTGTTTTTCAGGGGTTACATTTGGAGCTCAATAGAGCTGCACATAGCCATAACTAAGTAAGAGCTTAGTTTTAATTACGGTGCTTACATGTCTAGGTCAAAGGTGTTTTCAGGATGGAAAGGAAGATTAAGTCCCAGAGAAGAAATTTGAGACCTTTGGGCAAGAATGAACAAAAGTAATCTTTTAAAAAATATATATTTTATTGATTTTTTTTTTAACAGAGAGGAAGAGAGAGGGATAGAGAGTTAGAAACATTGATCAGCTGCCTCCTGAACAACCCCCATTGGGGATGTGCCCACGACCAAGGTACGTGCCCTTGACCCTTCAGTCCACAGGCTGACGCTCTATCCACTGAACCGGTTAGGGCAACAAAAGGAAACTTACTGTCATTTATAGCTTCCAGACACTGAAAATAATAATGAAAAATATATATAACTTTTTGAATGACTCCAAGTGCCTATTGGGCTTTGTGGAATACGCAGCTAGAATGTTCCTGTGTATTGTTTTTGAGAGTAAATTTTGTTTTGTGACCTGAATTAAAGGCCCTTTTTTTATAAAAAGCATTTGGCTGGATTAGAAAAACAAGTAATGGGCTTTGTTTTTTAATAGACTATCTAACACTTTCACACTTATTGTGGTTTTTGTATACATTGGATTTATTCTTGCATTCTTGATTTCTACTTATCTTTTCCTTAGTTTCTTTCTCTTCCTTGCCCTGACCTCTACCTTTAATCCCATTTCTGACTTTTGGGTGAAGATGGAGTTTTCAAGGTTTCATTTCCCTACCTTCATTGATTTGGAAGTGAACTCTTATCTGTCTTTTGGTGATTAAGGTTTTTACCACTTACCTGTTAGCGTATTTTTAGTATCAACATATAGAATGAGTTAATATCTACATCCTTTCCCTAAACCAGATAAGAACAAAAGCCCACTTTTACTTCCTCCTTTCTGTCCTGAATCTCCCTGCCACAATTCTACTTTCTTCTCTTTCCCTGGCCACCATCTTTCATGCCAAGATCATTTGGAGTTGTCACCATCATTTTGAGTGTATCACTTTTTTCTCTTAAATTAGGTTGTTTTTTGTTAATCCTCATCAGAGGATATTTTTCCCATTGATATTTAAAGAGGGTGGAAGGGAGGGAGGGAGGAAGAGGGAGAGGGGAGAGAGAGAGAGAGAGAGAGAGAGAGAGAGAGAGAGAGAGAGAGAGAGAAAGATTGATGTGAGAGAAACACTGATGTGAGAGAAACACATTGATTGGTTGCCTCCTGCATGTACCCTGACTGGGCTGGCAATTGAACCTGCAACCCAGGTATGTGCCCTTGATCCAGAATAGAACACATGATACTTCAGTTTGCAGGCTGACATTTAACCCCTGAGAAGCACCAGCCAGGGCTTGGTCGGGTAGTTTTTGGTCAGGGCTGATTTTTAAAATATTATTCCAGCTAGTAAAATGTAGGTGGAAGACTTCCTATATTCTTGCATGTCTATAATAGCTTTATTTCTTATTGACCCTGAGACTGAATATAGACTTTCAAAATGATAATTATTTTACCATATAAAATGGAAAATACTATTTTAGTGTATTTTTGCATTCAGTATTTTCTATGAGAAAACTCATGACGGTCTGATTCTTATTTCTTTGTAGCTAATCTCCACCCCCAGCCACAGAATGTCATCTTGGTGTGCCTGGCTGTTGGTCTATTTTCTTTCATCCTGCTGGACATTTGTTGAATCCATTTATTATGAGGATTTTTTAATCTTTTCTGAAAGTCTTTTTCTTTCTTGTTAATCTGTGAGTATTTCTTCTCTCTATTCTTTTGAAATTTATTTTTTTTAACATTTATCATTTATTTGTCCTCTGAGAGCTGTGTTCCAGGAGAATCCCTCAGTTGTATCTTCTAACCAAGTAATCATTCTTCAATTATATATTTTCTGTTATTCAGCACATTTATTGAGTTAACTCCCCCCCCCCCCCCCCGGCCCAATAACCACAATTTTCCTTTCCAAGTTTCCCAGTTGTTGTTCATAAGAACCAGTTTTAGTTAAAAGGAGCCATTCTCCTCTCTTATTCCTCTGAGGATGTTAACTACATGTACGGCACCTACATCTTCTAAAGTCCCATTGGTTTATTCCATCACCTTTGCTTCTTTGGCTGCTAGTTTACCCACGTGATGACGGTGGTGCCTTCATTCTGAGGACTACTTTCCCTTCAGTATTTGCGGGGTTGGTTAGTACGTCTCTGCTGGACCCGGTTACCTGGCCTGTCTCCAGGGTTCCAGGTGGAGCTGTGGCCTGTGGCCTGTGGGCGATGGAGGCCCCTTCCTTCCAGGTGGCAGTAAGTACCGTCCCCAGGCCCGGGACCAGGGACCACCTCTGTCTGGCTGTGCACTGCTCCCACCTTGGGCGGAAGCCTCTACCTGGGCCACAGGAAGCAGAGGGACAAAGGGCTCAAGCTTTCCGATGCCTCTACCTCCACCAATCACCCTTCTGCTCGAACCCAGATCCTCCCTCAGCTTGGACCCCACAGACATTCATTCTCACCCTCTCCCTCGGTCCTCTTCCATTGTTTTGGCTATTATTTTTTCCCTTTATTAGAAACTCATCTGCCTTTAATTTTTCAGGAATTTCTATAATTTCTGGCCTATGGAGAGCACTAAGTTTTACTTTCTAATGCTGTTTTCAATTACACTTTTTTCTTGTCACTTATAGGAATTGGAGATGAGAAAGAGGTTTTCGCATATTTTCAGTTGTGGTCCTGGTCTGATCTCCTCCTGGTCTGTTGTAAAGCATATTAGCCCGGTGGAAATGAAGTCCATCAGTATATCTACCAAGTAATATCTATCCCTATCTCCGAATTCAAGAGGAAATGTATACTGTGAGTATATGTTACATATACTAACATGTATTGCATCCCTGCTTGTTAATGCCTTCAGTTTGGCCCTCTCAAAGCATCCTGAGGGTATATCAGTGCTAAGATAGAAAAATGGAGTGTTAGGGAGGTAAAATAATGTACCCAAAGTCCTACAGCAAGAGACAGAGCCACGATTCACACCTAGGTCTCGCCATGGCAACAGCTGCCTTCCAATAAAAGGCATGAGGGAACGATACTGGGCCATGTCCTCACCGGATCATGTCACCAAAACACACTTAGCGCCCCTAGAGTGGGTGCTGGGAGAAATAATGAAATCAGGAATCACTGATTATCGTGGATAATTTGCAGACAAATCACGGCGTTGACAGCATTTTTCAATTCCATGTTGTCTCCTTGTCAACACGATTGACTCTTGGAGCAATTTGTGAACTGTTAGTTCCTTAGCGGAGGCCACTGCATGTAAATGGCCTGCACGCATCGGTAAACATGTGGGCAGTGTTGGCAAGTGAGGGGCTCTGTTTTGAAGTGATTTTTCTCATAGCTGTCTGCTGAGGTTTATTTTCACATAAGCAGTAACTACAGAACGTGCGTGCCGTGAGGGTAAATGTTGTTTTGCTGGTTTGAGAGCACCGTATGGGCTGTGTGGCAGGCTGTGATGACCTGTCTGTCACTTCCCAGAGAGAGAGAAGCCTTCCCAGCAATTGTGAGACATCGGATTCCAGGTCCATACAGGCAGGGAGTGGAGATAATTTAAGCTTTTTTAAAACAATCTGTGAGTATTTTTCAACGTCTGCATTGTTTTGTTCAAGGAGTTTTGGAAAATCTACCTGAATAAACACTTGGGAAACTGAGAAAGGAAAAGACCTTGTATTTCAGTTGAGAAGTTTTCAAAATGGAAGAGCCAACGGATTTGAACATGTTGTCAGAGTACAAGGGGACCCATGAGAGAAGGCGGGAGACACGGAGCCGGATGGGCAGTGCGGGGCCAACCAGTCCAAGAACCTTCTCTTCGGTTCATTGCTTTGATGTGGAGTGAAGGGAATTTCAACCTGCCTCACAAAGCCCTGAGATAATGGCTATAAATTCCTTAGCATTTACTTTCCACCAATCATTTGAGATGGTTCTTAAACCTCCACACCTTTCTCGTATCCCTTCCAGGGTCCTCCCTGCTCAGGGCTGGCCTGGGGGCCAATGTCAGACCGCAGACCGAGGGGGAGAGCCCGAAGCTCCAGCTCAGGGGGACCTGGAGTCAGGTGTTGCCCTCTTAGGGGCCTGGGCAGGTGGCAGGCAACTCACGCAGGTGACTTCCTGCCTGAGCTTCTGAGTTCCAAAGTAGTGAGCATGTGCCAGGCTCATGGCCGTCCATCACCCTTTGGGGGGCCTTTCTGTAGTAGGGGAGCCCCTCACAATGAGCTGTTACCGCCCAGCAGAGACGTCGGCTCAGGCTCAGGGCCCCTTTGCCGCAGGGATGCAGGGATGGACCCAGAATCTACCCGCCAGAGGCGTCGGCATGAGTCTGCCGCTCAGACGTGAGGAGCATGGGAAAGTATCCGCCTGCATTTTGGTGGCCCTGGTGGCCACAGCAGCACTCCCTCCGGGGCTCAGGTGGAGCTGGTTTCCTTATCTGGCCAGATCTGTGGTTTGAAATGGGGCTTTGTTTATAGACAGTGAGGTCTGTTCTCCAGCCCTCCTTCCCCCGCCCCCCTCCGGCTACTTTTGTGCTCCCCACTATCTCTGAAATAAACTCCTTTCCTGCAGTGAAGAGTTGCTCCCGGGAGGTAAATGATCTGCTTTGGACTCTGTGGCCTGGCTCATCTCGAAAGAACACCCCTGCTTTCTCCTACACATGAAGGGAGACCGAGGCTGAATCGTTCACTTAGTCAATCAGCGAATGTCACTAGGTGCCTTCAGCGTGTGAGACGCTGCATTAGGCACTGAGTGTTCCACGGGAAGCCTGCTCCTAGCCTCCAGGACTTCAGCGCTTGCAGAGCAGACAAGCCCTAGCATACAAACCCACTGCGCTGCAGCTGAGGACTGAGCCAGACGTGACCTGCCGCCATCATTGACACAATGCTGGGAATTGTTCCGAGCCATTTGGCAGAAGCTGAGGGTGAAACAGCTGGGGATAATTTATATGAAAATGACCTAATACTAATAAAAATACTTTCTCAAAGTAGGAAGGGAAAGAAGGAAAGGCCATGTTCACTGGCCACCTTGCTTCCTTTTCTTACTTGCTTTGGGGACTGCTATGGATGCGTAGACAGGTTTTATTTCAAGTTGTGGAACATTCGCGATTGGGGAGGTGGAGGGAGTTGGACAATACTGGAACTCGCTCAACGTTTGCTCCCATGATGATGTCTTGACTGAAGTGTAAAAGAGGTGCAGAAAGCTTAGGTAGACGGTCCCCCGTTATTTATTGAGCGCCTGCTGTGTACCACACACCTAGGGTTCCCACATGTTATTGCAGGCAGTTTCTTTCTCTCTCTTTGCCTAAATTCGTGTAGGTCTCTTTAAATTACAAGTGGAAGAAAAACCTCTCAAAGAGCAAAAAGGGGAACATTTTGTTTCATGCAACTGAAAGATTTGGGGGTAACTTCATGGAAAACTGGATGTAGGTGCTCAAACAATGACCTTGGGAATTTCGTTTCTCCATCTCCAGGCAATACTTCCTGCTCTGTCAGCTTTATGCTCATATTGTTGCCTCCTTCACAGAGGGTGGTGAGAGCTGCAGGGCCACAGAATGTCAGACTCATCCCATCAATGGAAGGAGAACTGCTACTGTCCAAGCATGGCAGCAAGTGCCAGGTTTGAGCCTGAATCAGTTTAGGCTGGTTTTGGCCACAAATGATGCAGAAACTGGATAAAAGGGGCTGATATTTCTCATGTAGCAGGAAGCCTGCAGGTAGAGGCAGTTCCAGAGTCAGTGAACTCGGGTCATCAATCATGTCAGGGCTCCTGGGCGGCTTCTCCATGGCTCTCTTGACTCAGATGGTTGACCAAGCTCCCAGCATCACATCTTCTTATGACAATGTCATGTCCAAAGGTAGGAAAGAATAAGTCCCTGCTTTGTGTCTCTTTTCAAGAATGCAGATTTTTTGTTTTGTTTTTGTTATTAATCTTCACCTGAGGATATTTTTTCCCATTAATTTTTAGAGAGAGTGGAAGAGAGGGAGGGAGGAAGGTAGAGAGAGAGAGAGAGAGAGAGAGAGAAAGAGAAACATTGGGGTGAGAGAGACATCAATTGGCTACCTCCTAACCTGGGCCAGGGATTGAACCTGCAACCCAGGTACATGCCTTTGACCCGGAATCAAACCCGAGACCCTTTGGTCTGCAGGATGATCTATAACCACTGAGAAAAACTGGCTAGGGCTATGCAGATTTTATTGGAACGAACACACACACACACACACACACACACACACACACACACACACAACGCAGAAAATCTCTACAGAAGCCACTGAAGGGACAGACCACTCCTTATATCTCATGGGTGAATTATATCACATACTCTTTACCAATCCTTTTCAAGGGAAATACATGTATCTTGGTAGTTTTCAGCTTATTAACATTTCTCCTTTGGGGCTAGGTGTGAGCCCATGGATGTCTCTCAGGTCACCCAATAGCTAAACAAAATCCATTCAATTAGCAAGGAAGAAGTGGTGGACTGTGTAGGTACCAAACAGTATCTGCCAGTGTTCTGTATGCATTCCTGAACCAATCCCAATGACCACCCTAGTCACATGTCTTCTGTGTGGGTGCTGTGGAGGTGGTGGCCATGGTGGTAGGTAGAGGTATTGTGTCAGTCTGCTCAACTCACATAAACTCAGAGTGTAAGAAATCAGGTCCCTATTATTCAAACTGTGACTCCTGTGCTAATTCTCCTACCCAGGAATAACATGAAAATTCTTTGTCAGATTTTTGACATAATTGTTAGAAAGAAAAAAAGGATTTCTGTTCCTATCTTTCTGTCTTAACCCAAGATTTTGGGTAGCTCATAAATATTTCAGATTCACCATAGACAGTGACCTGGGTAGATGAGGATAGAGGAAAGCATGTGTTCAACGGGCTTTCTCAAGACAGTGAACGCATTTTAAGCTGCTCAACACAACACTGTTATCACAGACCATCTGCAGAACATGGAAATATTTGTTAGCAGAGTCATTTATTGGAATGATACGTGGCATTGTGAAATTTCACAGTTACTCTGCTTCTTCACCTTGGTCTATCTTTTATAAAGTTTCCTTTTTAAGAATCCTCTATATAAATATAGGCGATCTAAGGGCTCTATTGAAGAGATAACTTTGTGTTGGGCACAGACATAAATACCAAGAAGATGACTTATATCCCCATATAAACTACATGTGGATTGGATGGTTAAACACTTCCATCATGATATTCTTCTCTCCAAAAATGTGTATTAGCTTTTTGTTCTCTATGGTGATAAGCATTCATTCTTCTTCCTGATTTTTCAGGACCCCAAGGAATCTGCCCTTACTTTTCACTCGAGATTCCCACGCTCTTTAGTTTAAGCTTCTCTCTAAGCTTCTCCCTCCACAATTTGACTTGGCTGGTGCAGGTTCTGACCATTGAAATGCCCTTCCTCTACTTGTCTGAATTCTACTCATCCCTCAGGGCCAAGCTTCCTCCCCTGCTGGGCCAGCTGACACATGTCTCCCTGTTCTGTGAACTCTGAACCCATGATTACCCCATTTAAGGCAATTCAGCACAAAAATGTTCCATGCTTCTTTGTTTGTTAATCGTTTCCATGTGCACATACTGTCCTGTCTCCTTAGTTACATCTTTGAACATAGAACAGGTATCTGTCTCAGATATTTCTCTTAGCACCAGATGGATATTAGAGATATAACCTTGGGTGTCTCAGAGACACCTCAACGTCAGCATATCTGAAGCGCTACCTCTTACCTGCCTCTCCCTTCTGTTCCAACTCACTCCTGTTCCTGTTTCTATAAATAAGCTCCTAAGCAATTGCCCAATCCCCTCCTGATTCTTCCCTTTCTTTTAGAAACTCATCGTCCAGGCCCTGAGTTCTGTCAATTCTATTCCTATGCACGCCTTTGGATCCCCTTCTCCATTCCTGGCACCACTGGCTTATTCAAGCCTTTGCGATCCTTCACTTGGACTATTGCACTGGCTTTCCGACAAGTCCCCCTGGGTCCAGACTCACCTCTTTCAACCCATCACCTTTACTATTGCCCAGAGACCATAGAGTATGTCACCCCTCAGCTTAAAAACCTTCAGTCATTCCCATTTCCAGAAGAAATCAGAACTCTGACATTACCTGCAAAGTCATTAATAATCCAGTTCCCTGCCTAGCTTTCCAGCTTCTGTTCTGTATTACCCGATAATGAGTCTTTTGGCCAAAGGACTCCTAGTGGTCCCATGAACACCTGTGCTCATCCAGGTCAGCCAACATGGATTTGGCATCTGGAATTCCTGCATAGTACCAATGATATGTTTATGTGTGTCTTTCTCCCACTATAGTATGAGGTTTATCTCAGTGCCTGGCACAGAGTAGGAACTCAATAAATGATAGATGGGTATATGATGAGGTAATGATGATATGTAAACTCTGGATGTGAAGGGACTGCATAGCCTAACATTCCATCTCTCACAGACGAAGCACAGGATTAGGCCTAACACAGGCCTTCAATACACACTCACCATGGGATGGTTGTCCCTGCTCAAATCAAGGAGTCTGGGATGTTTACTAGGTTTTAGAAAAATAACCTTAGGATCCTATTAGATGCATTATTGACTAGGTTTTTGGAATTGGAGCAGGGTTTGCCTTTCCTCTGGTCCCATCATGGGTAGAATTTTGAGTATTTCAGGCAGCTGTTTGCTAAATGTGCTGGGTTTAGTGTGGAGGCCTCCTGGATTGGTTCTACACTTAGGTCATCCACGGAATAGGTTATCAAAGGAATAAGAATGATGCATGAATTAGAATATAATTTAGAGGCAGGAATCTACTCTTTACTTCCTTTTGGATTATCAACAGCTGTATTTTAAACTCAATACTTAGAGTGGAGGTAGGTGTAAATATGTCAAGAGTAGACATGTATGGCAAACTCAGTGAAAGGTTTCCAGGTAACATGTACATGGGGAGAGTGATTTTCTAGTGATGAGTAACATTAGGAGAGATGACATCTATCCAGACACAGAGCTGTCACATGGACACAGTGCAGAGAGCCTGGGCTTCCTGGTGTCCCCAGCAGGTTCTCAAAGGGGGACCTTCTTTATGACTCTGTCTTAAGCCTGTAAGCCCCAAAGCTTTCAATGGGGTTGGCTGGCCATGTTAACAATCCTATATAATAAAGAGCTAATATGCAAATGGTCATCACACCCTCACACCATCATGCTGTAATGGCTCAGACACTCAACACTGGGGAGAGAGGAATGTGGACCAGCCAGGCACAAATGAGCTTGTGAGAGAGGATTGGGGACCAGCCAGGCACAAATGAGCTTGAGAGAGAGGAATGGGGACCAGCCAGGCACAAATGAGCTTGAGAGAGAGGAATGGGGACCAGCCAGGCACAAATGAGCTTGAGAGAGAGGAATGGGGACCAGCCAGGCTGCTGTCAAGGAGAGGGATAAGCTGCCCACCCCTCAGTCCCAAGTGCCTGCTGTTGCGGCCCAGGTGAAGCTGCCCGCCCATGGTCCCCTGCAGCTGCGGCCGGCCTGGGCAAAGCTGGTCCGGGTCCTGGGTGCCTGCAATTGGCCAGAGGGAG